AATTTTCAATGAACGTAGATACTATAACTAGGCATAAAATAAAAAATAACTGCGATTAAAGTGATATGCGCACATAATAAACGAAATAGTAATATAACTACATTCAAAATTCACTCGATCAATGTATTATATATACCAATGTAAACAAGATTTCTTTAACATCGACGGGTACCGAATCATCTCTAACACCTTAAGGCAGGTTCCTTGAATAATCCCATTTCGTGAGGCTTTCAGTAAACACGACGTATTTACCTGTTCCTCGGTGAGATCGATTCGAGTGAGCTCTGGGATTTGACAGGTATTACTATGAGCTTGAAACACGTATTACAACTCGATCAAACAGCAATCCAACGTATCTAAACACTGTCCTGGATGTGTAGAGGCATTGTTAAAAGAGAAATTAATAAGTTATTGTTATAGATAGATGAGAGCTTTGAGCCTTAGTGATTTATTATTTCCTTGACTCTAAGGGCATGACATGAATCTGAACAACACCAAAAATATCTACTATCTAACTATCAATTCATATTTTATACTCACTATCCGTTGAAACGAATAAAGATTACAAATATTTATTTTATTGAGAGGTTCGAGCCATTTTTCGTTATTTCAGACCTGTATCACTGCGACTTGCAAAGATCTATAGTACTTGTATTTCATCCGTTAAGAACAAAAATTGAATAATATGTTTAGCAGCAATGGTATTTATCTCCTCAGGATAGAATGTGTACTTTCCAAAGGCATCGTTTATGCATGAGTGGGCTACAATCACACAGGATGTGTAATGACATTTCGACTTCCACTTGACAAATTCTAAAAATCTTTGATAAGACCTCAGTTTGCCATGTGTTTATTTAATTTTCATTGACCTGTTAGAGCACTAGTCAACCAAATATGTAGATATGTAGGCTCCGCTACTCACATGTTGGATTCAAATATAACTAGCCATCTATGAGCATCACACTGACTACCCTATTTAAGTTAACAGTCTTAGAAGTAATCGCGCCTGATTCAAATATACGTATTGAAACAATTGATACTACCTTCTAGAGTGGGTTTACATTATCAAGTCTAGATTTCCCGGCCCGTGCTGATTACTCAGTACGATTGGCACATTCGTTTCTATGTTCCGCCTCCCATTTACTATTCCTCCTGGGATAATTGTTGTAAGAGTATAATACTTTTTTATAAATCTGGACAATTCATACAGCACCATCTAATCCCAAGCTAAGCATAATTTGTGTAATGGGTACTAAACAACTGAAATATTTTAAATACATATATAATATACATAGAAAACATCCAGATCAATACAATCAACCATACTCATGTATACAAATGTTTATACCGTACGTGGAGTCGAATCTGCGTTCATCGGAAATAAAACGATGTGCTAAATCACTAGACCACCGACGCCGGTTCTTAAGTTATTGAAGTATAATTTTGTGTTCATCTTTAGCAGTGTATTTATTCCACGAATTTTATGTTATTAACAGTCATGAATAATAGCTGATGAATTGGTCATTATAGGCTAGACCTGACTTCATCCTTCTCCTAGTAAACCCCACTGGTGCCGAGACAGGATACATTCGCAGACCGAGAAAATAGTCATCCATTAAAAAAACGTACTATCGTAGCACATTGTACATATAATTCACTACCGTAATAATTTTCAGTCAATTAAACGCTCTCATCAAACAGCATAAATCATGAAGAAAATAACATTCAAAAGCAATAATATTATGCATCGGAAAGTACAGGTATTCATATTTTTATTAAATTGCTGCAAGCAATGCGAAGCGTCAGCAGCATAGGAATATAATATACTAATAATTTATTTAGTCCACTAACAGTTATCTACGACTTCCTTACTTTTTTAAAAATAATGGATAGGCTATGCGGCCTCTTAATACAGTATATCTTGACGTAAATATTAATTAAGATTCGTTCTATTTTGTCGTAAAAAGGTAACAAATAGACAAACATACCGTCATACACACATTTGTATTTGTAATATTTGTATGGATAGATGAAATATGCCATTAATGACGATGCCTAGACGGTCGAAATAGTGATAAAAATATGACAAATAGCTTATTTATTTGAGACGAACTGGCAGGAACTCAAACTCAAAATCAACGAACATTGATTGTTTATTTTTATCTATATATCAGTATTTTTATAAATACATTTAAAAAATTAAGTCATGTTTTGCAAACCGTACATCTTATAACCTACTTCCATATTCGTTTGCGATTTGCTAAATTATTTAAACTCAAAGCTATGATAAAAGTTTATGAAAAACGTAGAATAACAAGATGGCAGAAACCCCAATAACTTTGCATATTTTCTCTATGTAGTTATAAAATACAAAGCAGCAGAAAGTCGTGGGCAATACTTTTCGTCGTGGAAGCATCATGCGAACAGCGATTCTATTAATAATTCTAGGTATTCTGACGAGGAAATTCCACCGGCTGACTTTCTAAATTTTTCTCCCCGTACTTTATTACTCGGCACAACAAAGTGTATCGTTGTATTTTTATGACACATGCAAGTAAAAACGTGGGACAACTGATGTTTTCTTAAAAAAATGTGGTACATATTTTTTAGTTGTTTAAAATATCTTAAATATATTAAAGTCTAACTTATTTAGGTACTAGAAAATTTTATTGTTATCTTGTAACTTATAATACTTAATCCTTATTTCCCTACTAATATGGACAAAGTAAGAACGTTTAAAGTTTAGTTGATTTGTCTGTCTATTACCGCTTTGTACAAAGAAGATTATATTCCACATTCTAATAACATCTTCAACATCATATACACATATATGAAAACTATGAAATATTTTTTTTATAATTAATCGAACAATTATTACTTCTTTCACTAGCGGCTCGTTCTAATTAATTTATTAATAATTCTAATTAATTACACTTAGAGTAAATAATATATTTTTACATACTATAAAATAAAAAGTCGTAACCGCAATCTGTACGCTTAGATCTTTTAAATTACGCAGCGGATTTTAAAGCAGATTTCAGAAAGTGATTCAAGAGGAAGATTTGTAAGTATAATATATGCATAGAAATTTAAAGGTTTGTAATGCATCCATCTGTAGCCGGGGTATGTCGCTAGTATATAATACGACTAACATCCCAGAGGGCGTCGTCAGAATAATATAGCCCATATTCATCTGACGTCACAGTCGAAGTTAGTTTCTAACATTATTGTTATGTTATCGGTAAAAGATGAATGATCCATTAATGTAATAAAGTAGATCCACTTTAAAACTTGGTTGCAACGTTTTAGTAAAACTTCTCCCGCTTTGAAACGGAAGTTTCAATGTTCAAAGAAGTTATGTGAATGAATTGTGTTCGAGTGCTGCCGTAAGACCACAGTTTCTTGTGAACGAATTAATAAGTCAATGAATGGATTGGCACGCGATATTCCAATTAGGGAAAGAGAAATTAATTATTTTCTTTCCGGATTAGTAAATTAGTAATTAACACGGTAGGTAATTATGGTTATGGTCTGGTTTCTCTATAACATAGAGTGCGATGGAGTATAGAATCTCTGAAAAGTTATTTAAATTACAATTGTTCATAGTCAACTATAACAATATTTAAAAAAATATATAGATAAAAGATTATAGATAAAAATTTTGAATAAAGATATGGAACAGAGAAAAAGATACAGATAAGAACTAACGATGCTCACGTAATTAGTTTTTCATTCTCAACTCACATAAAGTATGAAGAAATGTGACTTATTCTGCATTAAACGTATGAAAAAATTAATAAGAAATAACTAATACATACTTACATAGTATCCTACCCCGAAAAAGAATAAATAGGGTTAATTTTACGGTATTTACTTACATATTTCTATTCAATGTAATGACAAAATACTATGCTTCCATGGCTTATCTTACTAAGCTTTACTATGGAAAATACAATTATTGTAATCAATTAGCCGTCGACAAATGATGTATAAATCAAATAAGTAAAGATATTAGGTCTAGACTTATACTAAATGCAAAATCCTTATAAATTCTAAAAAGCAGTAAAACTACAAACATTAGGTAACTCAAATTAAACATCACAAGTTTTTAATGTTTGACATGGGACTAACAGGGGTAACAATTAATCAACTTTCTTAATGGTCACTTTCGTTGCTAAATTGTTGCATACATTAATCATGCAGTAATTCAGACAAGCAATTGCAAAGAAAGGAATGTGAATTATCATAACGCTAAAAGTAATCACAATTCCAAATACTTTAAATTATTTAATAAAACTCAGTGAAAACGCATAAAGTGAAGGAAAAGTCAGATTGTTAGTACTGTTTATCATAACAGACATGATTTTATAAGGTTCGAAATACGACCATACTTGATCACGTGAAGCCATTAGTGTCACAGGAAATGCTATTACACGATAAAATTGTTGATTTTTCGGTGATCGCCTGCAAAAAAGTGAAAAGAAATTATTGTAAATCATTTTTCTTTTATATAAATCGTATCTTATACTGAAGGTAACTTTGGCAAAGCTGTATAGGAAGGTAACATATTGAATTTCTTTGCATTTAGATGCGCAGTAGAGCGTGAAAAAATTGTATTGCATTCGGGAATCTTCAAATTATACGTGTATACTTTAATAAGAATTTCTTTATACGAGTGTGTAAAGATTACTTCGTAATAGAATTGTTATGGTGACTTCTAGATTTAAATATTATTTCATTAAATTCAACGTAGCAAATAATTAATTACCTGTGTTTGTATTGGTTCCAATATTGGTACTTATTGCTTTATTAATTAGGGTGATTTTCTAAGTTGACTATTTTACATCAAATAAGAAAATTTATTATCATATCAGACAATATGAAATTAATAAATAAAGATATGTGCATTCTTGCTAATAGTTAATTATTTATATTTAAATATTAATATAATACTTAGTGCTTTGCTTCGGCTTTCGCTGAATTTCTCATTATTTGTATATCTATGATTTCACGCTTGATTTCAGCATTATGTAATACGAGAAAGTAGACTTAAGTATCTAAAAAGGAAATAAAATTAATTAAATAATATTCAATCTTTAACTTACCTTGTAACTTAGATAAAACAATTACAATGAAAAGAGATATTGAGTTGCATGGTTACGATTGTTATCTGAACAATATATAATATGTTTAAAACTAATTTCATATATTCACTATTTAGGGCGTCATGATATTAAGTGACATATGTACCTACCTATAGAGCATTAATATAAATACTACAGAGTGATAGCTTCTTAGTTACTACTCAATGTGGAATGTTTAATTGTTGTTACTGATATGATATCTATGGATAATATTACCAATCTCCCTTTAAGTTCAGAAGTGGGGACGTTGATTATTAACACTTTCTAGATTCAGCTTCTGTTTGCATTTACACTCTGTATTGTGTAAATATAGTGCTCTGCAGTTGTGATATATTCAGGATCATTTCGTCATTTAGTTAGTAGTGTAAAATTATGTTATTTAGGACTGCACTAACCGAAATCATAGGCTTCACGCCAGCAGTTAATCCACAAGCAGCTTTAAACGTCATTGTAGGTTGAACTTGTGATAGAAAGAGCAAAAAGATTTTCTTATTAGACGTTGACATTTCTTCCCAGTGTATATTACAATACACAACCTCTCCTATATCTTCACTCTTAAAATAAATAATTAGTATATTATTATTCCTATAGTTACATACAATACATTGTCTAATAGTTGGTAGCTGGCGTAAAAGTAGCTAATTTATAAATTGTTTTAATATAAAATAAATTATTGACTGTTTTAAGTTTGACGTGGTCATTATTTATAAGTATAATTAGTAAAACACGGGATCTTACCACGTTTTATTTTTGTTGAGTTTTCGATATTTCGGCAATGTTTCAACGGCCATGATTACGGGTGAACTGAAGAGCAGCGGGTAGAAGGTAAATAAATCTTTTATGGGCAGACATATTCGTCTACCTTCACACGTTTTCGTTTGTTGCTACTATTGGAACTCGCTCGATATTCATCTCGGCAAACTATACTCATAGTATCTTCACGTATTAATACACTTTGTGATAAACAAAAATAAAACGTGGTAAGATCCCGTGATTTACTAATTATACTTATAAATTATTATTGAATTCCCATTTTCTCACAAATACACGACACGCAAGTCACTTACTCTAATTTAATTGTATACTTAGCCTATAACCAGTATGTAAGCGCAAACAAGGTTTATTGCAAAAAGATGAGTAGGAAACATAAAATACGAATAAAGATAGATTTTAACACAAACAACAGACATTAATAAAATATTATTAAAACATAAAAAACTACCTGCCGACGAATTTCTTCCAATACAAATGACATAATGACCAACTCTCCCACATATACCAAAAACATTAGACCAAATAGCATCCTGTCACTTTTGGGCTGAAATCAAAAGCAGGAAACAATAATTGGCCTATTAAACTTCTTCTACAAAAATTCAACATTCATTTTTGAGATATACTTTAATTTAATATTAAATTTAGTAACAGAAATCACTCTTCAAAACTCAATGAACTGTTCAGGTACGAAATTGAATTACGGGTTCTATAACTGTACCCAAAGTTAGACAATATACTAATATTGCTATTCTGAAATTAGTTTACTTAACTTATTTTCACAGTATACATTGTTATATAGAATATTACTATCGAACTTCAAAATTAGTATAAATAGTAGTCCAAGATACAAAGCTATACAATTTTTAAGTTGTAATTTAGTATTAGAATTAAGGTATAAAGTGGCATTGATGTTGAATAAGTGTAACTTCAAATGAATACAAAATTACTGCTTAAAAGTATCGTTTACAAAAAAATTGATAGGTATTTTATGAATTCATAAAATTTTCATGGTTTCATCAACGAAATATCGCTGAATAGAGCCAACACCCGTAAAAAGTTAAATAAGTGTATACAGGACAGAGGTATAAGTTATATGACTGACTACTGGATTTTAAATAAGTGTATTCAATGTTAGGCATTCACCCTACATATGAATAAATAGTAAGTTAATAATATAGAGATTAAAAGCAGAATGGTTGGCATTGCCTGTAATAAAAATTGTACAATATGCTTTATATAACATAAGTATATTATATTATATATAACACATGTGCGCGACGCACCTTTTACTTTATTTTTTTTTGTATATATTTCAAAAGGCTGATTTTTCATTCGTAATAATATTATTATTACAGTTAGTACCTACATCGACCGGAGTTTTCTTGCTAAAATAGTAACATTACAGTTCATGAGATCACTCTATTATATTATTAACTATCTTGTAACATTTTTGTTTGTGAACCCAAACAAAGCAACCAGAAAATTTAAAAAGTTTACTACAAGTCATAAGTGGAAACTACACAGAAATCGGTTCAGTTATTATATGATTAGCGTGCACAAGCGCACAGATAAAACAAAAAATTCGGTGATATATAAGAAGGATAGGGTTTATAGTTGTATTAAATTAATAGTTTTTTAATTTGTTTTAACAAAATCTAAAATAAATATACGTAGAAGAACAAAATTATAAAGAATATATTGTTACCATGAACATCAACTCGTATAATAATAAACTGTCTTCAAATAAGTTTTGCAAATAATTCCCAGCTACATTAATACCAAACGCCGACTGGATGTCTTTAAATTTTCTGAAAATGGTATTTAAAAATGTTATATGTATTAGTATGACCTGCAGCAGCTTCGCTTCGTGGCGATTAATAAATGTATCGTTTGAAATTATATCTATTCAATGTAATATCAACCCATGTTACTTACCAGGATTGTAACTTTGTACTAGTATTTTGTGTTTCCTGTTCATAATATTAGTTTAAATAAAAAAATATATATTCCTTACTTGTAATTTTTTTTTTCATTACTTAAACTAATGATACTTACTCTGTAATAAATGCGTAATATTTGATCATTTCAATTAATTCAAATCTCATCTCCTCCTGGTTTAATTTCTTATGGAATCGTACTTTAATATTGTTCTTAAATATCTCAATGTGAGCGATCAAATTAAAAATTATGGCTAAATTCATTGTATCAAAAACTGTAATACCAGAGCATCCGTACAAAGTTGATAGAGCACTGTTAATATGCATTAATACCCACGTATTATAATTGTATCCATAATCGAAGGGTGTCCACAAATACAAGCATGTTTGTAGTCTTACAGTTTTGTTCTTAACAAGTTCCTGGTTGGATATGTTGTTAATGATTGGTACAGTAAACCATAAACACCAGTCCATAAATAATATGATCCCTATGAAAAATCCGGTTAACCTAGTATTTCTTTCAACCTGTAGTAACTTCTGAAAGATATAGAAATAATATATTATCATTATATTTTTAGATTAATTACCTACTTCTGCTGTCTGCAGCTTTCCTTCCAACCTGTCTTCCGGTATGAAGTGCGACAATTATTCTTTGCACTATTTATAGTTGTCTAGTAGAAAATGCCATATGGTGTTAAGTCCGTTTAATTTACTAATACCTTTTATATTGTGTGCATAAAAGTTAAATAAATATTGCATGGAAATTATTATCCAATAATTTCCATGCAATATTTATTAAGCTATCAATGATATCCATCATTGATAGCTTACGTGAAGTGATGTTTCTATGGTGATGTTATAAGAGAAAAATATCTAGAAAAAATACTTACTTGCCATCAAGTGGATCGTCAGCTTTATTAGTATTTCAGTTACATTAAATGAAGGGTTTTTTAATGTGCTCAGGAATCCTAAATATTGTGTGATTAACAATTTTAGCTTTTAAAAATTAGACAGCCGGGCAAGAAATAGTTAATGTGTTAATATGTTGCGTGTAAATGACAAATATTGCGAGTTATATCTATAAAGAGAATTTGCTACAAAAATTAATCCCTCTAACTATCAAATTAACAACAACAAGTATAACAGTACAGAAGTTGCATTAATAAAAAAGTAACAATACAGAGAGGTAAGAATTGTTTGCTTATAATTTAAAAACTGCAAACTCTACCAATCACTATAATAATCGTTTAAATAGATGTAAAACTACTAAAGTAATGGTTCAAAAATTGTTTCTAAATAGTCGAAAAAAAAAATTAATTACCACTTTTGCGAACGGATCATTTGTACGTTTGTAGTAATTATATACATGTATCTTGCCAAAGAACTCGCCAAGAACTTTCTTGTAACTTTTTATGAATATCGATGATAACAATTTGACCTGAAATTACAAGTGTCTCCTTACAATAAAATAATGTGAAAGAATTTTTATTTGTCTATTTGTTAAGCAGGTGAGATAATATAAAGAACTAATTCATTTAATTCCGTCATCGTACATTTAACAATTTACGAGAAAACTGCATTTTTTAAATATTCTTACAGTTAGATATCGATCCTTAGACAAGTGACAGTTTTAAAATAAACTTTTCATTATAATAACAGTTACTCTGGTCCATGATTTATCTTTGGTAAATAAAATTCGAATTCAATAAAAAGAATTACTAGATATTAGAATAAACGTTATAATACTAATAGTATTCTCTGACGGAAAATCAGTAGAGAACCATAGGATAAGAATTACGTCAGGTCATGAAGAATTCACCAGATAATAATCACAATTTAATCTTGATCACTACTCCGAAGAGTTTGTAAAACGTCATGTGTACCTCAATCTCAGCTATTTTAGCTAACCAGCAGCTTGCTTTGTTAACTGTGTCTCGGTTGTAGGATGAGATTAGGAAGTCAAATTACAGAATAAATGATGTAACATTTTAAAATAGCAACGTACGACTAGCATCACAGGTGTTACATGATTCTCTATTCATGTATATACGCGACAGGTATTCCCTACCATCAGATAGATTGTCAGCTTGTATGCCATAACAACTAAATAAAACAAAAAACTGGTTATAACGATGTTATTTCAATTTACCTCAGTGAATTTATTAACTTACGTTAGTGACAAACGCTACCGGCCATACTGCAAACATTATACCAAGAGTATCAAAAGAATACTTTTTATAATTCAGAATAATGTTCATTGTTAGAGCAATTAACATTATCGGCCCATATATTCTAACTATAGCTCCGTTCAATGTTGCAAACATATTCGAATGATCCTTCATTTCCCACCAACTTGGTTTACATACTCCTATATAATGCAACAAATATGCCATTACATGATAAAATCGCTGCTGAGTTGGACTTTGTCTGAAACAAAACATACATAAATATGTACATATAATCAACATAAATATGTATGTATATCGTTTCCAGCAATATGAGTTACAAGTTTCACTGATAATTAATGCTATTTCTACATTTAATATACATATATTAATTTTTATTTATGTTTTGCATTTATATTTGAATTTAATAATAATAATACTCTTTATTGTGCATAAAAAAAGAACAAATAATTACAAAAAAGAAAGAAAGAAAAAAATACGAACAAAAGGCGGCCTTATCGCTCAAATCAATCTCTTATAGACAACCTGCTTAATGTTTTAATCCTTATGAACGCATATAAATTGATCAAGCCATAAAAAATGAGACATAATTAACATATTTTCTATTTGTATTATTAAAATAAATACCACTTGATGTAAAGCTAAAACAAAAAACTTACAAATAATATTCTTTCCCCATTTTACAGCAATCGTTCTGGAGTACTTACGTGAAATAGGTCTTAAATCAGAAACCTCAACCACCTACAAAGTCACAAAGGCAATGTTTAAAATACTATCCGTTTCCATAACACATTGCAAGAACCTTGCCTTTTACTTCTTATTTAAGAACCATTTTCTAAAACGAATTCCTTCATTTCTCGGTCCACAACAGTATACAACTTCCAATATGAAACAAAGACTACTTACGAACAAGTATGAACAATATTTGTTGTTTGTATTGATTACAGATTTAAATGCTTACTACAAATGTTGCAAAATAATGTTCGAAGTTATGGATTCTTTTATATACTACCACAATACCTTAGTAAAACATGCATAACTACCACTATCTCACCTATTTCAGCTACCATACAGCTTACTTTTTGGGATGTGTTCTGGTTAATGGGTGGTGAAATTATAGAGTAAGAGTTATGACATCTCAATCCCCCGGAATGGTATCGAATTATCATATTAGATTCACGTGTCAGTCGTGTATTTAAATAACAGTTACCACTCACCATCGAGAAACACAGCATATTTGCTATTGTACACAAAATGAATTAACAGAATTTCGAATACAATATTATCAGTGTTGTTGTATAATGGAAACTTGCAAGTATTAAATCTTTATTATTGTGTGATTAGGTATAAACTCTTTAATTTACCTATACTCTATTATTTCTACAAATTGAAAATGAGCTTTATTCTTTGATTTGTTTGTATTCTTTAAAGGCTATCCAACATTTTAACTTCCACATCAAACACAGTATATAATTTTCTTAAAGCATTATATGATGTTACTACATTTAATAGTATTTAAATTAAAGGTATGTTGGCATTACTGGTTATACGGATGTATAATTGTTCCACTTTGATGTCAGAAAATCAGTAACCGTGGCATATTGGTTTGTAGATCACCATGAATATGTTTACTGCAACTAAAGCCTCTTATATCAAAGACCGCATTGACTTACTCATCAAACAGAAACTGTGGCACAGAATATACGAAAATAATAGCACGAGTGTGCGATTTGCTTAAATATGGAAACATGTTCTAAACTATTTCTGTTATGGTTATGAGGCAATGATGCATTGTTACAAGAGTAGTTTTTCTGACGTGATTTGTCCGTATTGTATTAATGTATATTTTCACTCTTAGTCATTAATGAACTATAAATTCAAGGATTCAAGAAACCTTATTGGTAGAAAAGCATATTTAAGGAATTTAATAATGCAATCCTACCTCATACGCAGCTCGATTACAATTCAGATCATGAATCATTTTAAATCAATAAAATATGTAACTGACGTACGCTCCAAATTTATGTGGCAACGTGCATACGAGATATCAAATGAACATAATACAAATTCGAATTATTTTCTTCCCAATTTTTAAATATAGGGTTAGGCCATTGGATCTTTCCGCAATTCAGTGTTTTATCAGTCACAGTTCAAACCTTGAAACGATTCTTAATACAAAGATATTTAGCATTTTAAACCTTTTGTCTAAGTTGCACTAGCCGATTGATCACGAGCTGACCGCGATGTCATTTTCGGTAGATGCGAACAGTTTTTTCAACTATCGTCAATAGATTATGCAAACAAAAGATAAAAAAAACAAATGAAATCACAGCACTCACACTATCCATATACTTATCTGATGCTACTGAACTTTGTACTTTTTTATCACTGAATTCCATGCAGTCAATTTTAAACCTAATTATCGGTTGCAATTAGGATATTTTTAATTTCAATCACCTCCCGGATCATTGGTGATGATTAATAAGGCTTAGGCTGGCTACTCATTTGCAAACCCCTGGTGTTGCGGGTGCATGGGCGGTGATAATCACTTGGTATGAGGTGAGCCGTAATCTTCTTTGTCCTCTATGCTATAAACAATAAGGACATTGGCACGCAGATTTTTAGTTCTATAATCAGAAGTATTATATTTTTTTTATTTAGAGTGTCTTTTTAATTTGTAATAATAAACTAACAACCTAATCCTATATAACAATTGTAATTTAACAATTCTATTATGTATATATCAGTTTCTTAGAACAATATAAAAAGGATTGACATAAAAATTGTTAATGAGAAGATTGAATCGAACTCAACTTACAACGTTATACATTCAAATTCTATCTGTAGTTGAATTTCGCAGCACCGAACGAGTTATCGGCTGACTCCACGTTGCTAATGTGTTACATTTATCATCCGAGAGCCGACGATATTGGATTTTGCCTTTGAAATGCGCTTTCATAAAGTTTTTTAAACTTGTCGTTTTAGTTTTACATTGTTCCTACATTACTTTACTATGTTTGCATCATATTTCCTAAGAGTGATTGCAAACTATTCATATGTTTTTATATCGTAGAGGAAAACGTGCACCTGACATAGTTAATGGTAAGTATTTATCGTCGTTTAGTTGCGTGGCTTTTAAGAAGAGGTACCAATATAGAGGAAGGAATTTGGGAAATACTAGGAGGGAGGAGTATGAGCGTCTATAACCATAACTCACTATTTGAAATGTGATAACACTTAACGCCAGCATTTCGAAGAGGTGTAGTATTTCCCGGTTCGAATGGTGTCAGTCTTACTAGACAACCATGCGTAGTGTACCATAAGTAAAAATACCGTTTCAAATAGATTGCTACATATGAATATACTATATTACATTGTTAGTTGCACTAATGTTACCCACTCACTAATAGCTATGCCTCACTGTTGGGTTGACTGGTAGAGATATCTTTTAGAGATAAATCCACCTTTGCTCACTTTGTATGTAATTAAGTTTACTACTGTATTGAAAAGTGCGATAAAGAATATATATAATATAACTTAACTGACTTCATAGAGTGGACAGAAGCTTTGTCAACTGTCAACGTCGCAATGAACGCGACACTTGACCTGCTCATATTGTATTATTCAAGTGACAAGGGCAAGATTGAATTAAGTTAGCTTATTACCGGTGTTTCTATCACCACAGAATTAATCAGGATTATAAATTGATACGTTTTTTTGCTGTCGTATAGAATTATATATATGAACATAAATTATAATTACCAAGATTACGACTTGCGAAAACAATAAAACAAGGTATTTACTTAAAAATAAAAATGTACAATAAACAATCTAATAAAACAATGGAATTGACTTCAACAGAATTTAAGAACAAAATAAAATCATATTTCGAGCAACATCCTTTTTACAATGTGACGGAATATCTGAATTCCAATGTAAAATTATCACATTTTCCATTAAGTGACTTTTATTAGTATGTTATAAATATATAACATACTAATAAAAGTATATTTTAAATATTCAAAATAATAATTTTGAATATTTAAAATTGTAATTATGACATAATTATCTTAAAAATGTAATTACTATCGACGTGCTATTGTGTAACGAGATTTGTTACATTTGTGAATAAAACAATATGAATATTAATCTACGATTTTATTTCTTTTAGTTCAATTCCCGGCAACAAACAACTACTACAAGGCTTCTAGTGTTACACTGAAATGTGGTGAAACGCAGACGTCTTTTTACAAAGTCTACCTAGATACTGAGTAATACGAATCCATCAAATCCGTCTGATATATTCAACACTAGTGCTGGTAGCGTTGTATGCATCACCATATACATATTATATACACCTAGGTGAAAATTACAGGGGCTTAGACAACCGTTGACAGCTTAATTACAAGTGATAGCATTCGCACAGCTATTTATATGCTAATACGAACCCCCACTGTCCAACATCAAGTTCGCTTAGTGATTTCACTCCATGTTAATCTATTTTTGTTATAGAAAATTGTTTATTAAATTTCAAAATTTGTTTCCATTAATTTCTGCCGATTTAAGCATTGAACGTGACTACAAAACAGTAACTATCTCTAAGAGATTCTTTGTTTATATAAAATTAATAAAGGAACAACGAAATCTATGGAGGTATTTATTTTATTTAAAATTTTAGTGTTACCTTACAAATAGATTGAAAACATTATAACAGCGACTCACTAAACATCTTTATGAAGCATATGTAAGATAATGTATCTTTGATTTATGAATATAAAATAAACACATAGTATCTCTCAAATACAAGATTCTATCAACAAATTAAATATAAATAAAACTGGATAGTAGCAAAAAATATAACATAATTCCAATTCAATTACTGCATATTACCTGAAAGCACGTAATAAAAAATGAGCACTGTTATTATTGCATAATAGGTGACCATAAGACATTTGGAGGGAAATTTTGCATTATACCGTAACATTTGGAAGTAACATCAATTGAGCATGAAATTCAGGTTATTTTATATCACTTGTAGGGATCGTTTGTGTAACAACCTCTTGTTGCCAATAAAAGATACTTTCAACGAACCCAACTTGAAATTATAGTACTGGAAAGTTATTTTTTTATTTTTATGTGCTCTATACAAAATGAAGCATAATTATGTATATATGTTATATATTACTTTTATAGCATTTTTATTTTAG